GATTCTCATCATTAGTGCGAATGATGACAAATTTTGCCAAAGCTTATATGGCTTTATACACATGTATGTAAATGAGCAAATTAGAAATGCGACTAATGAAGCAAACCACAACCGTAGACACCACCCGTCACTGCGGGTTGTTATGTAAATTAGTACACAAGAATCAAACAGCGAGCGTGATATTCAAGTTGTAAATTTGCTTATTAAGGGATGGATTGTTCCAGGTAATATGCAAAGCTTCTTTAACTTTGAGTTATATAAGCTGAATCTGCAGAGTCAAGAACGGTGAAACATCTCTCATTAGCAAGATCCCGACAGCGTTCTGAAACCTGCAAATGTTGAAAAATAGGAGAATTCCCGTCCGCGATCACGATTAAAGTATATTGCTTGCTTTATAAAGTGCCTTGTGGTGTTTTTACTTATATATATATTTATATTTATAATATTATATTATATTATATTATATATTATATATATATTATATATATTATATTATATTATATTATATTTATATTGATATTTATATTTATAATATATATAATTATATATATATATATATATATTTAATGCGATAGAGCATAGAGAGAATTATAGAGATCATTCACTGTTTTTTATTTACATGAATGAAGCATATTACTTTCATTTTTATAAGATGTAAGCATAGAACAACACTTTGTATCATCATCACAATGTTAGCATCAGAAAATATGTTTGTATCAAGCATCCATAGATTCGATGCACTACTCAAAAGAAAAAACAAATTAGCCAGTCTTCACCCTTGTATTCATAAAGGGTGGAAATGAATTGTTTTAAATATGCTGTTGAAGTGCATGGACATATCACCCAATACAGAACCTGAATCAATTTTTTGCGGACCTACATACGATAAGTTCTGCAAGTTTCGTAAAATGGGGACGCATTTCATTTCACACAACATGCTCATTACCTCGGAATATATTCCAACTTTAGGTTTTTGCCAAATAAAAGAAATTCACTTGAATGAGACAGTTCCATTGAATGAAATATTTATTTTTATTACTTTATTCTGAATAAAAAAAATAATATTGAAGAATAAAAACACAATAAAGTACCAAAAAGCTTATTTCCATTGTGGTCTAAAATCAGACGACTAATTATTAATGGATATAGTAATGTGCTAAGCATCGTGACAGGAATGGAATGAGTCTGCACTTTCATAAAACACGGACTGCCATTCAGAGACCGAAGAAATTTAAAATCAAATAACGTTGAGGCGAAGGGTGGATATCTTATTACCTAACTAAAACGCGTCATTTTGGAATATTTTAACTTTTCTCGTTGTATTCAGGGACAAAATAATAAGGTCAAATCAACATTTTAGGGCAACTATTGAATTAATTCGGTTTCCTTTACTCAATTTGTCAAAAAAATTAAAAAACAAATTAAAATGTAATCTAAGTTCCATTTCTGGGTTCCAGAGGTACAAATTACTGTGGCGCTGACGTGGTGGGGATTTCATCAGCACCCCCTTTCTTAAATCCTGGATACGTAACTGGATTATGATTATTTGAATAAAGAATGTTTTTTTTTATTGTTAGGCCTTTATGATGCGTCTATTGCAATTTTCTCTTTATCTGTAAAATGTTCGTTCACAATCCCACAAAACAGTCCTAAAAGCATTGCGCTACCGCCCCTGGACCCCCACCGAGCCCTTGGAGCCCCCAGGCCCCAGCCGTAGTGAGGGGGACACCCTTCCCAAATCAAACCCTACTCGGTACTGCGTACCTCTCAAGACGGCTCCCCACTCCCCCAACCTCAAAAACCTTGCTAGGTCCCTGCTAGCCCGTACCCACGTTTAATGTAATATTCGCCTCTGTAATTCAAACATTATGCAAAGAGTATTATCTATTTTGATCATGAGGAATCACGTTAAACTGTATTGTTAAAGAAAATTTACTAATTAGAAGATTTTAATACAGTGGATTGAAATTTATTAATTCATGATCGTCGTCATGGGCGGCGCTATTACAGTAGTATCAGAGACGTAGATAGGCACTTAATTTCTGTGCAATTCGTGCAGAATTAGGTATATACTTGTAGTACAATATATAGTAAGAAGTATTAGATATTAATATTAGATTTTGTTTCATTATTAGTTTTAGAGTACCATTTCCTGCTATCTAGGAGTACCATAATTATAAATGTTCCTACCTCAGCTCCACCATAGTATAAACCCTTCAACTGTGAAAATCCCTCCCAACTCCCCCTCCCCACATTTCCTGAATCTGTCATTGAAAAACCGTTTAAAACTGTTGATATTGCATCTTCAGAATCAATGAAGACCTCAAATTATAATAAATGTCTGAACGCGAAGTGTCTCCGCCCACTCGACCCCAGCTAGAATCTGTGGCCCCATACATGTTGGTCCACTCCACAAATTCGCACCCACCCAATAATAATCCTACGTACGGGCCTGATGTAGTGGGGGTTTTAATGTCAGGCTCCGGAGGGAAAACATTTTTTGATATGTTGTAGAACTGATTTTTCTAAGACAGAAAGGTTGTTTGACGAA